GCTGCCACGCCCTGCTCTTGCCGGGCCCCTGCAGACAAACTAGTCCTAGTTGTCACTCACCGCATATCATACCTGGGCGTGACTAAGTTACTGCTGTCATGGCAACAAGCAAACAGGTCTTCCTGACACACGGCACATTTTGGTTTAGCGCCATATGTTACCATGGAAGAAGTATCTCAATTGTCATACACCGCACGTAAATATTTTTTTTAAGTCTGTCACGTTTAATTGGCATGTGGCAAATCTGTATTCGTCTGTTTCCTTTAGATTACGGTGTCAATAAAAACACAGACGATAATGAGAACGGTAAATTACAAATAACTTGAGACAAGCATTCATGAGACACCAGGTTCAGTATTTCCTATTTCCTTACCTTTATTTAAAAAATTACTCCTAAAATTACTGAAGAAAATTCCATTGCCTGTAGCAGTGCCAGTCGAAGCCTTTGTGCCGCCCTGGGCAAACTTTACCACCAAATTTCACTTTGTCTCCGGCAGTTTGTAGCGGGGTGGTGCTTGTGGTTAGCTTAGTAAGCATCCATTCTTTATCCCGTACAGGGATAATGCACTCAGTGCTCAATGCTGACAAGGCGATTTGCATATTTATGTTAGCCTGCTTTAAAGCAGGAGTGAATGCTGGGAATCTATAAGGTCACAGGTCAGGATGTGAAGCCCTTTGAGCACCGGAGAGGAAACGAACACTAGAGAGTTGATGGGTTTCCACGTCATCCTGCTCATCAGCTTTGCAGGAGACTGGAATTACCCATATCTAAATTTCATACTCAATACCCTCCGCTGTCTTCATCTTTCATGAGATGGTGGGCATCATGAAAATTTGCTCTCTATAAAAAGACAAAATTGAACCAAAACTGTTTGAAAAAATTATTGTAGTTAAGCAAACATATAAATAAATATTGCTTTTGTCTCTGGGGTAACTCCACTGTCCAACCAAAGTAAGATATTAAACTGAATACAAAAATACACTATATCCATCTAGTTGTCCCTGCATCCACCCGGACTTAATGCTGTGTCTCTTCGAAGGTTTTGAAGGTACCTGGTTCTGTGACTCAGCTCACTGTGTGACTGGGAAGTTGGGAACATAGTGTGTGACTCCACATTCATTTGCTATATTTCCTTGCCACTGACTCATAGCTCTCACTTAAACAACATGAAGAGACAGGTCTCTGAGAAGTTCCTTCCATATGCGTCAAAAGCCTGCATTTAAAAAATGGAATTGAGTCTGTGCCAAGATCTTCAGTTTTGAAAAACCAGTCACAATAACATTTAGCGTTAATTGTATATTTATAAAGCATTAACATTCAATAAGCCGCTGATTCAGATGAGGAAAGATGACTTATCCCCCACTTATCATATTCTCTATTTATTTTTTTCTAGTATTTAACTTTTATGAAGTGAAAATAAACTAGCAAACAAGGCCACTTGCCTCAAAAAATTATCAAGCAAATATTAATGAAATAAATTTCAATTACATTATGAGAAAAACTGGAATTGTAAAAGTCATTTCTGCAAAGTTTCCAAATACGTGAAGTGTGTGTTTACATTTCTCAGCAATAACTTATAGTGCTTTTTTACGAAGGTGAACAATGTAAACAAACCTCATTCATTAAAATACCCATTTAGATTGTTGATGAAGTTAATGAGAGAACTGCTGAGCTGAATTTAATTACGCATGTTCTGGTAAATATTAAAATCACGGATAACAGTTATTTATTCATGACTTTATATTCATTTCATAAGCAGAATATATAAACAGCTCTGGTAAGTATTAGAAGGAAAATGTTTAAAAATTGAAGAAAGAATCTTAAAGACATGCTCTACTTTTATCTTTTGCTTTTAGTCACTTTTAATGCCAACTTCTTAATATTTTATTGCACACCTTCCTATAATAGCCATCATGAACCATATCTGCGGAAGGCTTATTAAAAAAAATCTTTAAGATAATGTTAAAATGCAGTATGAGGATACAGAAGAGCAGGTAATATCAAGTTCAGTATCAAGCTTTCGGTCACTACTCTTTGACATGGATTTAACTTGCTTTCAGTATGTTATCTTCCAGAAAGATGCCTTTTGCACATTTTCAAAAGAAAACAATAGAGATATTTAGTTAGCGATTATATATTAGCATGGATTTTGTACCATCTTGAGACCAAAGCACAGTTTTGTCTGTGATCTGGCATCCAGACCACTCCCTGCCTGACTCATATCTCATTGCCTCCAAAACTCCTTTGGACATGTTTTGGGTGGGAATGTGACACCCTTTGTTCTAAGGGAGGTTAGCTTCCAAGGTGCAGGACAATGGTGCCCATACCAGAAAACTCACCCAGATGAATTTCAGTCAGGAGAGGAGAGCCTTCATGGTAAGTGGAAACATATTTTATGCTGTTTCTTAAAATTTCTCTAATATAGTTCCAGAAGCAACATTTCTATACATGACCGTTCTTTAACCTAAATACATTTTTTGCTGTGTGTGATATTTTTAGCATAAACTCATGGATGGCATTACACATTTAAGAAGGTTAGGGTGACAAAAGCAGCAATCACTTTCAAGATATCTAAAATACAGTAACTATACCGTAAGTGCCTCTAATGTATGAGTATGTTTCTACTTTAATTCCACAAGAGGTTAACTTTTTGCGAATCACATAAACAAAACAAAACAAAAAAAAACGATAAGCTTCATGGAGCAGTGCGAGACGGCAGCTACAGAAGTACGTTTTGCAATCACTGTATAACTGTGTATAGCTTAGCCTTCCGTTGGGCCCTGCTGGATTCCACATGCTAGATTGTAAGTGTAGTAATACACAGGTATTTGCCTCTGATTAACCAGAAGAACATATAACTGGAATAGCTAAAGACCTGCACTGTTATAATGGTGCTGTCACTGTCACTGGAAAGGAACATGAAGTCTTCCGACAGTGTTGGGCATTGTTAAGGCTTTGCAAAGTTTTTCCATCTGCAAATTACATATTTGGGTGTCATGCAAGAAAGGTCGCAGGAGCCTCAGGTAATCAGTCACTGCCAGGTCATTGGGACACTGTCCATTTTGAGTGCTGCCCATGAACCCAAAGGTCCTTTGCGTGTGTTTATGTTAATACGAAGTCTCTGAGCGATTACTGCCACCCTACTGGGGTAGTGAAGATGCAAACTCTCAGTAAGATTATCCTGGGCCATCACTGTAATTCTCTGATGTTCCATAAGTTTCATGAATTCAAAATGATTCAATAGGCTTCCATACCCTTATGAAAACATCATTACTTGGACTCCATTAAGGCTGGATCCAGTCATGCCGTGGCTTTAAGAACTATAGAGAAAATAAACTGAATACAGTGATTTAGATAGAAACTTAGATCTTACAAAACTAAATTATACACTGGATGCAGCCAATGAACGATTAAAAAAATCTACAAACAGCAACGCCATTGTCAGTCCGAGGTGAAAATAACACTGCAATTAGCCATTTATGAGCATTTTCATCATGTTCAATGTTGCTAATAAACACATAAATGAACAGAAAAGTAAAATGGAATTTCAATATTTTAAAACCTGGAGGCAAACTAGACATAAATATCTACTTGCATAAAACTGTATTATTAGTATTAACCATTATCACATGCAAGATGTCTATAGTACATAGTATGTAATTTTTAACAAAATTTTAATTGTGACATTTAAAATGATACTGTGCAAGCTATTTACAAACCTTGAATACGTTTAAAAATGACGATCAGTAGAAACATATACTGAAAAAAAACAAAATGTTGGAAATGCTGAATCAATCTTAAATAATTGAAGTAATTGATCACATAATATATTTGAACTAATTGTAATAAATTATTTTCAACTATTTGATTGAGAAGAAACCATTTGAAGAAACAACAGCTTTGTTTATGTTTTTCAGTGTGATCCACCGATCCTATCCACCAATATAGCAATCGTATTATTAAATGAATCATAAAAAAACAAAATACCATATAAGGGCATATCACATGATAGTCTGTGATGATGTCACTACGTAAAACCCCGATTCCACTTTCAATGCTAACTGGCAATTTCCTGTCTGGATTAAATGTAGTAAAAGTCATAAAGATTATGTTAGATGCGGGAGGATATTGTGTAACACATAAACTGTGAAAATGAGGCCAACCGATCTCAAAAGTGACAAGGCACTTACAGTACTTATGTATTGTGCAGTATACTGAAAAAAAACGACCAGTTTTACTACACTTTAGAAAAAAATAAAGTGATCTCATGAAAACTTCCAGTAGAACGTTTCCTGTTTGAACCTGACATGCATTTTTACTACATCAGTAATAAGTGATATGTACCATTTTACTCAGGCTCAGTTTTTTTCAAAACTTCTATTTATTGGTTATGAAACATAACATACAGAATCGTAGGCAGAGTAGGACGGTGTTCCAGCAGTATCGGCATTACACTTCAACCTCCAATCCGTCCCTCATCGCCTTATTGAAAAGTGGTACCAAAAATAAATTAGAAAGTGTAGTGATCATAATGATGACAACTAAATTAAAATTAAAAGGAGAAAAAAATCGAGCTAATTTTCACAGATTAATTGAATATAAACTGAATTGAACATACTTTCTTATGGTGTGAAATTATATTTGGAGAACACTTTGGGAATTCCAGAGAGAAATTGACAAAATCTGATAAATATTCATGTACCCAATATTGTTTCAGTGAATTCTTTGTATTCAGTTACAACCTTTGACGAAGTAGGCATCTGTTTGAGAAGCAAGACTAGCTTTTGTTTTCCTCTATTTTAACCTAAAATGTTATAAGTATTTCTTTCCTTCCATCCATCCATCCATCCATCCATCGTCTAATTAATTATCCTGAACAGGATCCTGGGGGGTGGGGTATCCTAGGCAGAACGGAACATAATGCTGTGGTACAGCCTGGATGGGAACAGAGAGCAGAGGTAGGATTCGGCCATGGAGATGTGAGGCCATAGTGCCACCCTTATTATTATTTCAACTATAACGATTATTGTAATTGTTTTTGGCTTAACACGGTTTTAACGTGCCGCAGGCATAACGTTCTCTACAAGACGAAAAAAATGGTTTAATTTCAAGCGCTTCGGATAAAAGCGCGCTATTCATAACAGTGTGATCCTCGTACCTGGATAAGGTAGTGCGTGACGTCACTCAGACTCCTCCCTAAATGCAGGGCTCGGTTTTTCCTCGCGCAGACCTGCCGGAGAGCGAAGGTCGAGAATATCTTTCACTTGAGCTGAAGATATTAAAAACAACAAACAAATTAAATTAAAAAAAAAACATGGTATTTTAACCTTCACTGGGAACGTAAAGTTGGAGATTGTAAATAGCTCGATAGAACTGCACTTATATAAGCTTCGATAATTTTTAACCGACTTTGCTTTGAGTACTATTTCAAAATATTTTTTTCAAAATTCTGCAAGGAATTCGTTTTTGAAAAGGGAAACCGCTGCAGTGGACCTGAGAATTTGACCAGCGCGACAGTGAACCGAAAGACATTTTTTTTCCGAAGATGGCAGCGAGCGTCGCCTCAGAAAGTGTGTTTCTGTCCGTCCTGCAGCCCAACAACAGCGCGGTGACCTCCTACGCGGTGCCCTCAGAGCTCCAGCTGGAGCATGGGGGCAGCCTGTCGGACGAGGTTGCAAAAGCCAGGAGGGTCCAGCAGCAGGTCCAGCTGCGCCTGGCGGAGAAGTCCAGCGTCTCATCCGGCACCCTGCCCCGGATGAACGGCTCCGTGTCTAATTACGCAGCGTCGGGTGAGTTTAAAGCGCTTATATTTCCCCGGGGCTGCTTTGGTGTAACTGTAAGAATAAACGCTGAAGTTTCGCCCCCCACTGCCCTCATCACGCGGTTCGAATTCAAAAACACAAGGTGGCATCCCTGAGATGTTATTAGTTTGGACATTTTATAAATGCATTTAAAGTCGTCAGTAAAATAAACCATTGTTTAATTGTTATGTAAGTATTTAGCCGCGTAATTTGATTTGTCGAACGCTTTAAAATTAATTGTCCCGAATGTAATGCTATAAGTCTAAGTTTGCGCCAGAACAGAAAGATATACTAATATTGGAAAAACTCCTCTTTAATTTCCAGTTGATGTACAGAAAAATATTTGCACTCAAGCACAAGAATGTGTTTTCATTTCATGTTTAAATTGCGTAGTTAGGAATTAATGCCTTGAAATATAACATGCAACTACCGATAAGTGGTATTCTGCTTAAAATAATCCTGGATGATGCTGAGAGATCTATTTACGGTGATTGATGAGTAGAGGTGGAAATTCTGCTCTTCTGCTTGCTGCAGTTTTTGTTCGTATCCAGCCAAAAACATAAGCCAGACTATATAGGGTGACATCATCGGAGCCAAGTCCCATATCAACTTCATTAAGCCTAAAAAAATTCCGGGTATGTCCTTCAGGGAACGGGAAAATCTGTCAAAAGCCACTAATTCATAAGTTTTAAGATAAGTACTTGATGTTGGTGACTTAATCCACCTCCATGAGATGAACAATTTGTAGAAACAGCTGAAATTCTTTCTGTTATCTTAATGAGCTGGTTTACTAATACAGTCCCGGACAGTGACAGTCTGTGGACAGTTGGCCTGTCAATGCATTTCCCTAGTAAACCTAAACCTTCCATTCTTGTAGAATGTCAGTGTTGTTTTTAGGTTTTTGTGTGCATGGCAACCATTGGCTTAGTGTTGCTGGGATATTTGGAATTTGGTCATGTTTCATATCCATGTCCCCACTTGCTGAAATAGAAATGTACAGTACAGATCTATGCGTGAGACCTCTCTATGTGATGCAGGTAAAAATCAGCCACGCGTGTTGTTCTTCAGATGGCAGCCATTTTGCAACGCAGATGAAAGGATGGGTCTGTGCCAAGAAGTTTGTGGTGGCAATGTGAGCTTTGAGCTGAAAGCCAGACTACCTAGGATTTCCTAATTCTAAAAGGGTAAAGTTTCACGTTGTGAAAAACTAAAGTGGGACTTTTGTGGAGGTTCTACATGAGCTTATGCAGAGAGGCATATTGTCACCCTCAGTATTCAAAACTTCTTGCCACTAGAGGAAAATTGCAAAAAAGCAAATGAATGTGATGGTTAATGAAACTGGCTTTGCTCGTATTCTCATATTAACGAGCCGAATAATGACTGGCTATCATATCTTGGCAAAGACTTCATAGCCAGTTTCGGCAATTGGTGTCATGGTTTTGCCTGCGCCAAAATTTCAGGCAAAGGTGCCTTAGGTCAAATAGGCCAGGCATTTTCATTGGTTCACGGAAATATTACTAGTCCTGAACCCATTAGAGCAGGAGAGGGGTTTCTACCCTTACCAGTTCTCCCAGTGTATCCAATTTCTCCTTGCACGTATATTGTAGCATATGATTCAGTCTCCACATACAAATATGGAGGTGTCAGCATGAATTTTGCCTTTCCAGCATGTAAAAGGCATCCTCCCTAAAGGACAAGTGCATAAAACGTTCCTAACGATGCTATGATATTATTAAAGATGTAATAAGTAGCTGATAAAAATGGCACTGGCTTCATGAATTTCTAGCAATTGTATCACATGAGTAACGCTGTCTCTTAAATTAAAGTCTGTCCCAGATGAGCTCCAAACAGTACTCGTCCCATATTTGTTCAGTTTTACCTCACACCCCAGTGTAAAGTTGGCTGTGCACTTATGCCCTCTACCAAGAAAAAAAATAGATCAAGAACCAAATGGCTCTACAACAGATTTGACTGGCAATTTGTGTACAGTTGGGTGCAGTATATGCAGCACCTTCCGCTTGCATGCTAAGTGGACACCTGCCACGTTGCAGTTATGGAGAATCTTGTGCCATTCAGCCTGACAAATTAAGATGGATGATTCGAATGTTACGTAATGGAACTGGTTCAACACTAAACTATAATTAAGGCACAAAGCTTGGGTACTTGTGGGGGAGGGGGGGTTCGTTTTAAAACCAGTATTGACAGGTTAATACAAACACAGAGACCATGTTCCTTTTTTTCGTCCTGTCTGTGAAATGTACTGGTTGCTTTTAAAGTTAGAAAATCTACATCCCATTTTTATTCCATTTTATTTCTTTCTTGATTACTACCTTAATAAATGTGAATAAAATGTAGTTTTTGGTGTTTTGTAGTGGATTGAAGGTTAATTATATTCTTCCATCTCTGGCAATTATGCCAACATGTTAGTTCAAGCTCCATACCTGAGAGCATACTCCAGGTATGTTCCACTGAGCCCTGTGATTGTAACAGGTTAAGGTCTGAGGACATTGGGCATCCTGCCAGAATGGATACACCCTCTGACAAGCCCCAGGCTGACACACCTGAGAACGGACCGGTTAACCCCATATACCTTCCTACAAAAGGCACACAGTCGAGGAAGAAGCATAAATCCCTCTTAGTTCTTTGCACTGCTACACCACTGCGTTGTGGTGCTCTTTCTTCTTTATTTTCATCTAGCTGCTTGGCACATTATTGTTGCAAGAATGGACGATAAAAGCGGGGAAAAAAAGGTTTCGTCTTTGATCATTGTAAAGGACACACCTAGGGAGTGCCTCACTAGCTTTTTTAAAAAAAATTTTGCTTTTTGCTTTCCACTAATAAATGTATATCAAAACATGGGTGACTGGTCCAATTTTGGCAACTTGATATGTTTTGTAGAAATTTTAAGTTAGCGCCCTTGTCCTGAAGCTCCAGCCTGTCTGTAGGTCATGGCTTCAGTGCAGTGGGGATCTGCGGAACCCCATTTTGTGGCATAGGTGGTTGGGGGCAGGGTGGGTGCCGAAGATTAAGTGCTGGGGAATTTGTTGAGGAATTTTTTTTTTTTTTTTTTTTTTAAACAAAGCTGCCACTGAATTTTCATTGGAAGGTTCAGAGTTGGTGATGGATAGCAGGGCATATTCAGGAGACCCAGCACTTTATAGGGGCCCCTGTATCCAAAAATAATGTGTAAGTTCATTGGGGGGGGGCAAGTTGACATTTTTACAGGGAACCCAGAATTTCTAGCTATGTCGATGGATATACTCCATTAAAATCTATTTCTGTATTTCATTTAAATACATATCTTTTAGAATCTTTAGCTGAAATCCACCTGTGGGCAGGTAGAGAGTGATTTAGGATGTACTAAAGTGGATGCATCCAACTCTTAGTTGAAGTGGGGTCAAACTTCACAGGAGTTAATGGACTTTGGTCATCTGGTATAATTCAGGTGTGGTTTGGGCGAAGACAGATAAATGCCTGCCAGACTGGTTTTTCCTTTTCTTTCTCCCCCGCTTTATGCATGCATGTCCCACGGCAGCTTCTCATGGGCCCAGACATTCACGTGGTGACATCCATATACCTTCCAAACTACACACACAGAGTTATGTATGTGTCATAGTTACTGAATGTGATTCATGTTGTTGCACTTGATAATGAGAAATCTTTTAATTGCCATTTGCACAAGTACATGGGAATTCTTTATGCCTGCCCCATGTTGCTCACTATAGCTTGAGGTTCATAGCACACAGTCAGCCAACATGCAGCACCCCTGGAGTTGGGGTTCAAGGGTGCTTGGACATGTGACTGTTCTACCGAGCCGGGGCTTGATCTGGCGACCTTCCGATCACAGTTAGAAGTCTTAGCCCCCTGAACCACTCACCACGCATTTGTCCACAAAGAAGCACAAACTTTAAAATATTAAAACAACCCTGGCCATGTCAATGGGGGAATACTGAGGTGCATTGTGAAATTGCACAATACGCTTTAATTCTTAACAGCTGAGTTGTTCGCTAGTCCTTGGGCGTGTGTGGGGGTGTGTCTGTGTATTTTGTTTTTTATTTGGTTTAAAAATCATTTTTCATATTGTTTTTTTTTAATGAATAGAAATATTCCATTACTTTGCTTGCAAAACCATCAGACTGCAACATGTAGGCCGCAAAGGCAAGTGAAAGTGCCTCTTATCTAGACTTTGGTGGCACAAGCAATGTAGAAATGCTCTGATAACTGGAGAATAAAACACACCTGTTGTGCAGCATGTGGTCACCATTTTAAACATTCATATGAATCAGTATCCTCTTCTGTGTAGAATTTTTTGGGTAATCTAAGGAAATAAAGAACACAAAGAACAGTGGTGCAGCATGTGATGCACTTTTACAGATAGCAGCTTACGGCCTGCAGGCCATTTCACCCTTCAGGTTCTCTCCCTCCTTGGAAATGCCGTCAAACGTCAAAGTTAACCTGGCAAATTCCTCACCAGAGTCTCATTTTCAAGATATCGCCCTATTTGTAACTTTGGAGGAATATTTTGGTGTGGAAAAACTGGTAAGGATTTCTGTGTTACATTTTCGACAGATTCTTACAGAATAATTCAAGAAAGGCTGTCAGCGGGGGGGGGGGGGGGGTTCTTTGTGTGAGATCCTGGGTTTTCCCTTTAGCTCTGACTGGAGCTGGCCCTGCGTCCTTCTCTTTAGGAAGGTTAAATTCCTTGGGCTGTTTGTTTTTGTCAGTGAACCCCAGACCCAGTGTCTTTAAGGCCTATTAATCTGTGGGTGAACCCAGGCTTCCCTATCCCTTTGATAACCCGGAGTGTGGGAGGGCAACTGCATTTTGGAGAAACAGCAGATGTAGCTGGCTTGTGTGTTCATGAAGCTTAGGTCTGTTCTCTCTGTCCCTATGTTTCTAATATCTTAGACGTTTAAGGTCAATTGGCCTCATTCACCAACTGTTCTTAAGAAATTACTTCTTAAAACCCTCTTATGCAGTTTTCACGATGATTCTGACGTTCATCCATGGCAAAACAATTGCTCATTTCGTCTTCTTCAAGTCTGTATTTTTATAATATTATAGGATTTTAATCACAGTAATATTTTAATAATATTTAATAATATATTTAATTATGTAATACTTATAATTAATTTTTGCATTATTTAATAATTGTTATTTTTAATGAGTATTAAAATGACTAATAGCATCCCAGGATTAAATTTTTTTTGGTGTGCTATTTTATATCCACAACTGACGCTACTGAATGTGACAGCTCATCTGCTATTCTTACTAGAGCAGTACCTCCACTTAAGAACTACTGAGTTATTCTTGCACTTGTAATTTGGCCGAGGTCGAAAGTTCAGGTCCAGAAAGTACAAATCCAGACCAAGGTTTTGTTTCAAACAACTAGGCGAGTACTCTGTGACTGTGACTCTTCACGCTCAACTGGTTGAATGAAACAAAACCATGGTCTGGATTTATGTTTTCTGGACCTGAACTTTCCACCTCTGGAATCTAGTGCTCCACCATTTTTGGATTTTCATTTGGGTGTTCTTGACTTCTCTCTCAGCATTTATTCTTGATTTCTGTGTGTGCACATAACGTTTATGGGGATTGGCGGAGCGTTTACCTCTGGCAATTAGGAACAACTGGCATACGCTTTCAGTTTCCAAGAACAATGGGGTTCATCTTTATAAGAATACATTTGCGAACAATTCTACAGTTTAAGAACACGTAGTGAATCTGGTGTAGACTTTTCTTAGAACCGTCTTAGGACCTTTCTGAAGAACAAATTATCTCTGTTATCAAAGTATCTCTGTTACTTGGCTTGTTTATTGCAAGCATGCAGGCTTTGGTTCTTAGCTGTGACTTTATTACTTTAATTTGCTTAATTTCCCTTTCTACATATATCATTCTATGCTGTATTACACAAGACATGGCAGGGTGATGTGTTCTGATGCCAGTCACATTTTTCAGTTTTGTTTCTTTTGGTACAGTCCCTGAAACATCTCTGTGCATAAATTGTCTTTATTATCAGTTATAATTTTTTGACTCCTTCCGCATTATTTTAATACAAGGACACCTTTGTTTGAAATCAGTCAATATGAATGGAGGTTTGCAGCTCGCAGGTTTTGGGATCTGTTCCTATATCTGGAAGGTTGTGAGTTCAAATCCTGTAGCCTGTACAGTTATTGCATCACTGTTGGGTTTGTTAGTAAGGCCCTTAACCCCAACTACTCCAGGGATACTAGCTGACCCTACTCTCTGATCCTCACTTGGACAAGAGCATCTGCTAAATAAGTGTTGAATAAAATCCTAGCAAAAAAGTATTATAAGATGCCTGTGTTACATAGTGAGTGATCTGTGCTCTTGAGAACCACAACTTAAAAACAACAAAGGTTCTGGGTCTTTATCATTGACTGAACAGCCATTCTGACCATAACGTGCTGATAAATGTGAGCACTGCAGTATTTGATGGCTGTCAAACTGATGTCAAACCATCACCGAAAGCTCACCTGGCCACTGATCTGCTTTGTAAACATGGTTACCTCATCTGCATTATAGCAACTTAAATGCTCCTCAAACTGTGTGGGGAAAAACCACTTCATACTAGCTCAGTTAAGACAATGGGAGTCTTTTATACTGCCATTTCATCCAGAACCTGGGAACAGCAGAAGTGAGCCTCAGTAGGCTGGGCAACGCAAGATCCATCTGACAGTCTGTATAAACATTTGCACATGGTGTGAGGTTTGTTACTGATAAGTCTCTGGTCCCGCCCAGATCTCGGTGTCCCTGGTAGGAGGCCTTTAGATTAGCAGTGATTCAGGCTGGTTCATGCGTAATACAAAGCCGTTCCAGCAAACCGTTTTGGTTGACAGGTCATGAATGAAGAGCCTCATGAGGTTAAGCAGGGCTCTGTAGCAGGAATCCATCTGGCTGGGACTTGTGGTATTTCAGTTACTGTGCATTGCCCATAAGGTTAACCAGTACTTTGCCAGATGTTTTTACTAAGGTTAAACCAGAGGAAGTTCTAGATTTTTTAACTAAAGCCAATGTAAAGCGCCTTATTGTATGACTGTAGCTAATCTTATTATTTGCGTATGGCAAATAACTTTGCCAGCAAAGACGCTCCTTGTTTTTCCATATTTTCAGTGCTGGAGTGGTGATACTAAAATTCCTGATACTAATATTGGTGGTGATAATGAGGATAATCAGTGTCTCTGAAACCGTTTCTCGAGGACCCCCACACAGACCATGTTTGTGGGAGCGAAAACGTGCACCGTCTGGCGGTCCCTGTGGACCGGGTTGGGAAGCCGCAGTGATGGCAGCCGGACAGCTGATGCCGTGTGTGTGTTTATGGATGCTCTCCAGTGATACTGCTCGGGATCTTTGACTCGGAGAACTGTACAGAATATTCACAATGGCTGTGAAACGATCTTCTTTTAAAATTTTAACAAGATGAAGTCACTTTTTTGGTGACTTTTAAAATGCTACTCGTTCTGACGTTTAGGTATCCCCAATATCTCCCTATTTTTCCAAATTCTGCCTCCAGGGTCTCCTTTGTTGACTGATTTCTCCTCTCTCCTAGATTACGGAGGTACCACTGCAATGAAGTTCTCCACCTACAGCCCTGGGTTCAGCTCCAGGTCGCAAATGTACAGCGTGAACAGGACGCTGCCGGTGAGTGTCACCATTCTCCGCGGCACTGCGCCTTCACTTCCTGTTTTCCACTCACAGGTGCCATTTGCGTGAGACTATGACAGCAGTCATTGAGTTATGAGATGCATAAAGTGTTCCCCTGGCTGCAGGCGGTGTCTATACAATAGTAACGGCTGGTCTCTGACAATTATTTTAAATATGTCAGTGTTCTACTGTCAAGTGCTTTTTTTTCCCCTATTGAGTATTTGAAAATAACGAAATGGCAAATGTATTTACAATAACTTGGTACAGCCCCATTCCAAGTCCACATGCACCACAAACAAAGAGCATCTTGTTTATTATGTAGCCCATGTGCTCATGGTGAACTTTTGTTGTGCACCCGGCACTTCGTTCTGTGTGTATGGTCTGGTATGCTTCACACCTACACCAGAGGAGCAATGTAATTTTAACCATAAATATCACCTTACGAACACTGTTTTCAATGGCCTGTTTGGTCTCTGAGTTATCCAGACGCTCCTGCAGTGAGAAATGCTGGTTCATACCAAGAGTGAGACGTCTCTGGAGGCTGCTGTCCGCTCTACCGTGAGGCTCCTTAGCCCATCACGCTGCTATAATGGGCTGCCGCTGTTTGCTGACTGGCTCACTCACCAAGGCCCACTTTAGCAATGAAACTGAAGAGACCTACATTTTGAAAATCCTGACTGCAACTGAAAGAGAAGTGCTTTTAAACATCCTGTAAATTTCCGTATTATCCATCCATCCATCCATTTTATTTGCTCTACCTGCTTGTCCTGTGCAGGGTTGCACAGGGCAGGGAATAACCCATTATGGGATGTTGATGCTGATGAAGTTTTAATGGCATTAGGACAGTTATACATTAAGCAAAATCTAGTGCAGGCCATGTCCACTGTCACCTCTCCAGACATGAAGAATTTGGTTCTCTGTGTTAGTTGCAGTTGTTGTGGTGCTGAGTCGCTCAGTGTTTAATATATGGGCTGCAAATATTAAACTCTTGAATGAAGTGGAATATCTTTGCTGGAAGATCTTGGTGATGTAGTGGCTCTATCAGATTTCCAGTGCTCCCTGCTTTTGTTCACTTGCTTGCCTGTTTGTTCTCCAGGTGCTTGTGGCAGTGTTAAAGTCAGCATGGGTTATTTAGCTTATACTTAATTCGTATCTCCTGTGTTTTAACCGCAGCCCCCCCGGGTGTCCCAGTACTCGTCCGGCTATTCCACCGGCTTCTCATCTCGCTCCGCAGTGGATTTCGGCCCTCGAATGAGGCCCAGCGTGGCGGGCGTCGCCGGGGGCGGTACGTACCAGGAGGAGCTGCCAATGGCTGGCTACCAGACCAGCCACCAGCAGGTGTTGACCCGCACCCCAAGCAGGCCCGACCCAGAAACCATGTCCCTGCACTCCATGCGAATGTACAGCATGCCCCCGCAGCCCAATCCGGTTTCAAACTGGGTGGCTCAGGACGGCAGCGAGGGCAGCCTGTTGTCCGAGCGCGAGGCCGGGCCATACCAGGCGCCCGTCTATGCCACCACCAACGGCTACTCCACCCAAGTGCGGCAGGTCTCCTCCGCGCCCTCCACCATGCGGCGCTCCCTCAGCGGCACGCTTGGCCAGGCGATGATGTCTGGCGGCGCCACCACCGGCGAGATTGTGCAGCAGCAGTCGTTCAAGGGCCCCGCCTTCCGCACCATCAGCCGCATAAACAACCGCACCAACCGCTTGAGCATCGGCTCCATGGCGTCCGCCGCCGGCATGCAGCAGCAGGTGTCCGGCAGTGTCTACGGGAGCAGCGGCCGCATGGCCATGGGCCAGATGGTGAGCGGTGGCCCGGGCAGCATGGTCCTAATGCAGCAGCGCCAGGCCACACTGCCTCGCACTCTCTCCGTCAAAAGCCTGCACAGCGTGGGCAGGGGCGTGGATGTGATGGACAACTGGAACATGACCGGAAGCATGAGCAACCTGAACGGGTGAGGAGCTGGCCGCCGTCCTCTGCGACAAACCCCTGGCTTGTACTCCTCAGTGTCCTTTGCGGGGACGGTGTCACCGTATCTCCTTTCATCACCTGTCAGATAGCAAATGGCTCCCTTTGTGGGGGGGAGGTTTCAGTGGGTGTGCTTTAACCGCCACATTAACATCCCAGCACGTCTGGAGAAATATTTTTTTTATACGCAAGCAGCCTTTGTTACCCAAAAACATGAATATTGGTTGTGGATGTTCTTCGTAAGACTAAGTCTGTGTCTGATGTGCTTTAAGTGTTTAGTGGAGAAGCAGGTCTGGAAAAATGCTGAAATGGAGTCTGCCCGCCAGGCAGGATTACAGAAGCGGGGCAGGTCTGGGTGTGGCTGAGCTGCCTAGCCCTATTCATGGTAGTTCTAATGAAATTTGAGTGTTGAAAATTGCTGCGTAAGTGTGAAACGTAAGGGTGAAACTGCACAGTCTCCCTGAGGATGTGTTTCGGACAGCAGCGTGTGGGAATGCACTTCTGTGTGTCTGTATGGTGCTTAATCACAACCCCCTGCCACCCCGTGTCTCCCTACAGGTTCACTAACATGGATATGAACACAGCAGTAAACTACCTAAACCTGCAAGACCCAGAAATGCAGGTGCCGGGGGCTGCGTATATCCAGCACGAGTGCTACCATAATCGTGAAGCCAAAGACCAGGTACAGATCCGGCATTTTCTGCGCTGCTCTGTTATTCCCTGTTCATATGGGGCCTTTTATGTAGCGTGCTAATACACTTTATTTGTAACGGCGATACATGAAATGGATTTACATAAATGGCAACAAGTGAATTACAGTTAGACCTGAAAGAAATTTAGCCTTATTTTTGTAACCTAATAGCGAAAACAAACTCGGGGTGGAGCACAAGGTAGTTGCTGAGCGTTTTCTGGGCTAATTAAATTGGGTCATGCATACTGGACCAGTCTGTGACTAAAAGGCGAGAGGTTTTTAAGGGACTCGCCTCATTTCTGGTGCCTCCCCACCTCCCTGCAGGTCCGCCAGCTCGGGGGAATCCCGGCCCTGGTGCAGCTTTTAAGCAGTGACAACCAGGAGGTCCAGCGCTATGCTACAGGTGCCATGCGCAACATCATCTACGAGAACATGGACAACAAGGCGGCCCTCATCGAGGCGGGGGGCATCCCCCAGCTGGTCAACGCGCTTGCGGTGCCGGACGATGAGCTTCGCAAGAACATCACCGGTATTTACATTTCCTTATTAAGCACAGCATACAGACAAGAAAATGGGGTCAGATGATGCCCTGAATAATTGGGTTAAGGGCCTTGCTCAAGGCCTCAATGCTGAATCAGTCTACTAGCCATGGGGTTTGAACCAGCAACCTTTCGATCATGGGCACAGTGTCCTATCGTGCAGTCACACACCACACCCAAAATACCACCCTCGTTAGGACTCAAAGCCAGAGTCTCTTGGTTGCCTTATCCATTAGGTCACTGGGGCTGTACCAGTGGTGCTGCATCTAATGATCCTTATGGGTCACGACTTGTGGCATGCAGCCCGTTTTACATTTTCAGGGTCTCTCCAGTAAAATGCTATGTATGGACATCCTTAGTCTCCACACTAACTGGTTTCCCTGCCCAGTGCCTGCAGAAGCCCCTGCTTCCATCTCAGCATCTCCAGGCTTTTCACACGGTTCCCCATCTGCTGTAACAGCTCTGCTCCAGCTGGCCGTGCAATCCAAACGTGTGCGGAGCTCTCGGCCGCTGGAACGAGGCATGCCTCTCCTCTAGTCTAAGCTCCGATGTTCCCCCCAGCCAAAGTTAAACAGTCCTTGAGATTCCAACCTATAGGACGCCAGTGCACACGCTTGTTCTGAGGGCCAACCAAAATAAACATGAGTCACTGGTTTATCTCTCTAGCACTTCTGTGTGAGAATCTGCTTCACACTAAACTTCCTCATGCACTAGACCAGTCAAGCTTTGCTCTGAGGCTGATATTATCCTGACTAAGACCTGTATCAGTTACTATAAGCTTGTTAATGCTTCTGCTAGGTTAGCCTACGTGCTGTTTAATAGCTAATAGTGCAAAACTGTTTGCATTCAAGGTGAACATTTGAAAACATTAACGATTAACATGAATGATGAATTAATGACGAACAAAACTCTGCTAGCTCACTAATGCTTGGAATTGTTTGTAAAGTAAGTCATTTTCAGTGGGAGCGGACTGACTTATTTCAGTGGTGACTACCAGGGAGGAATTTTCATCCTAAGGACTCTTATGAGTCTTACTCATTACAGATGTCTAAACATGATTCATGTGTGCATGTGTCAGGCCAGATGTTTTTTTTTGTTTTGTTTGTTTTTATAAATTTTGTCTCCAGGTGATGTATAGAGAGCCTAGTTATTGTCAGGCATCTTCAATAGAAAAATATAATTACACAATACTTAGGTTCTGTTTTAGATATGCAGCATGGCCTGGCTGGGGGGCATATCATATTACAGAAGAGTAGTGCACAGGACAAGACCTGAACCCACTTCTTGAATGAGGCTAGGTTCCTGCAGGCCATTGCTTGCACTCTGCTCCTACCAAGAGTTAGTTCTGCTCGCCTGAAGAAGACTTTCTCTGCTTCTCCCCAGGGATCTTGTGGAACCTGTCCTCTAAAGACAACCTTAAGGAGAAGCTGGCAAAAGAGACACTCGGTGAGCTCACAAAGAAGATCCTGATCCCGCTGGTCCCCCATGCTCCTGAGGGAGGATCTGAGGTGGCCCAACCTCCAAGCCCATCTGAGGTGGACATTTTCTACAACACCACTGGCTGCCTAAGGTACAAGGGCATGTGGCACAGGTCTACCACATAAGTGTCTCCATTCAAGCACTTATCTTAACTGTAGGGTAGCCTCGTCTCGTTGACCCTGCTGGTCTTGGCACCTCCTCACTTAGGAACCTGAGCTCTGTGAACGAGAAGACACGGCAGCAGATGCGGGAGACGTCTGGTCTGGTGGACTCCTTGGTGACCTACATCCAGAGTTGCATCGACAGTGGCAAGATGGAAGAAAAGGTGAGGCAGCTGCTGAATGATTGGCTTTGTGGTGGATGTCTTGAACAGGACGTTTCTTATTTCCACCGTGGAGTGAGCCGTAGAAGTTTGCTCGTTTTACTCGCACAAAAATGTTCTGAGGGCAGAAGGAACAATGATTGGTTATCTCTCTGAAGAACCCACCTCCTCTACAATCTGATTGGTTATCTCCCTGAACCAATTGTTGTTCCTTCTGCCCTCAGAATATTTTTGTGTAAGTAAAACTCCCATGAGCTAAAAGTATCACTAGTCATGTGCTAATCAGCTGGTGACCTTGACACTCTGGCCCATGCTGTTTCACTTTCAGGGTGTGGAGAACAGCGTCTGTGTGCTGAGGAACCTGTCTTATCAGCTGTACAGCGAAATGCCAACCTCGGTACAATTACGACTGGAGGGACCCACACGGGGGCAGGATGACACGAAGAATGACCCGATTGGGTGCTTCACCCCACAGAGCAAGAAGGCAAAGGATGTATGTGGCAGCATTTAAATATAAAATACATGAATACATATTTATTATTAATTATTATCAGTTGCACTTCCTGAAAGATATATTCCTTGGATTTAAACAGCAGGTGGCATGATGGCTCAATGTGAATTGTCAGAAATGAATGTGTGTGAAACTTGCTGTGAATATTGCTTTGACCTTTGACATTTTTATTCTGATTTATCTGTTGGTCTGTTTCTCACTACAGAGACAAAACCAGGATATATCCACTTTTACAGAGGTCTCAAAGGTACCCAAGGGGCAAGAGTGGCTCTGGCACCCCCAAGTGGTGAGGTTATATAACCAGGTGCTGCAGCGCTGTGACATCAACGCTGTCACGCGTGAGGCAGCTGCTGGTGCCCTGCAGAACATCACTGCTGGGGACAAAAGGGTGAGTTATGCCTACAGTGGATGAAAATGTGGGGCATCTCATAGAAACACAGCGAGCCTCAGTCTCGGCAAAGTAACCATGGGCTGTATTCAGGCAGATGCTGTTTTAAATATTCATAGAACAGCAACTGCTCATTAATTTTTAATTTTTACTGTAAAATCTTTTAATGAATAATAGTAAAAAGTGGCCCCAAGGGAGGTGTATGGGATATGATCTCAGATCAGTAGCTGGCACTGGCAGTATAAGAGAGGTTGTACAATCAGAGCCAGCGAAAGTCAGTGCCCTTGCTATGTAGAGCAGGTTCTGGTCAAGATAAGGTCAGCTGCTGCCTTTGTAAGTGGGAGGAAGACAAGCAAGGGAGAGAGTGAAAAGCTGGAGTGGAGTATTGCACCCGAGAGCTGTGATTAGTTACCTGGCACACGGTAGATGCGGTGGATGCTTCAGAGGTTGTCGCGACCTGCTTCAGGGTGTGTTGGGTAATAGTGCTGACAGTAGAATGGCTGCTAACAGATTAATTTATGGCTGTCCTGTAGAAACAGTCTGTGGGTTGGTGAGAAACTGTACTATTACCACAGTTCTTTAGGCAAGTTTGTTCACTTTAGTTAATCAGGTTTTTTTTCATATCATTGTGTTTTACTTCCTCAGACAAGACTCCCTTGCATTCCACCTTCCACTCATTTGATGAAAATGTCACACTGATTTAGCTGGATTGCTAGCTAAGCGTACCATGTGCAGTACTGAATTTTTGCTTGATGTTATCCTGACTTTCTATGTTGGCAGATGTCTATCCGCCACGACTGGGTTATTAGTCTATGCTACCTTGCAGCTTTTTTTTTTCCTTGTCAGTCTGTTAATTTTCGTCATCTGCTTGCCCAGTCAATACATGATTAATTTCTCCTAATCTGAGATGATGGTATTTGCTGGCCTTTATTGATGCCACCCCCTCGACCTCCACTAGTGGGCGTCCATTCTGAGCAAGGTGGCACTGGAACAGGAGCGAATTCTCCCGGTACTGATGGACCATCTGCGTACCGATAACGATCTGGAGCTGCGCTCCCTCACTGGCTTCCTCCGGAACCTCTCTCGTCATACCAAGGATAAGGGTGATCTGGGTAACTGTCAATCCTGTCACTATTGGGACTGGATTCATGATCTCTCTACACCATTAGTATTTATGGGGACTTGAAATCTATTGGCTTTTATTTCCATTAAGTATTAACTTCTGTTGATTAAATTCCTATTACTACTAAATGGTTAGGAGATGTCCCCATGGCTTCGCAATACCAGCCTGTGACACAGTGTATTCTTTCTGGGTTTGCTTTTCCAGCCACTAAGTTGGTGTCCAACCTGCTCACCAAGCTGCCCATTGATGGTTATCAGAAGGATCCTTCCACTGATGTCGTGGTGAACATCTGTGGCACCTTGAACAACCTGGTGGCAGGAAGCTCTGTGGCAGCTCGGGACATCACCTACTTTGACGGGTTGAAGAAACTCGTTGGGATCAAGAACTCCCATGATAGCAGGTATGGTGACAGCTTGTGGCTCGGCGAGATTAGCCACTGTGTCCGTGATCGGAATGTCACCGATTCAAGCCAAATAATCGCACCTGTGAGTCTTTGAGCATGGCACCTAATCCCCAGCTCCACGGGTGCCGCTGCAGATGGCTGCCCTTCGCTTCCAAACTTGCTGTCACCTACACATGTGTCACGGAGAGCGTAAAGAGAATTTCCCCATGGGGATTGATAAAAGTGTCATTATTATAAGTTGGGTTTTACAAGGTAGTCAGCTCTGTATTCTAAACCTGTTCCTTAAGAAATTGCACTGTTGCCCGAGGAGCTTTGACACATAAAACTATTTGCAAATAAAGTTTGCATGCGAAAGCAGACATGCTGAAGTCGGTGTACTTCGGTATGTAAACATGGCTTTGGCTTAACCATTAAAAGCAACAAGGAAACGGGAACCTGGAGAAAGGGGGGGTTAAGAGCCAGGGACAGACACTCTGCTACCAAAGCGGGGGCTGGAAATTCCCAAAGGATGAATAAAGTCAATTTTGTTTGATATTTTCTTTGAGCTGCCGCACTACATGTTACTGAAGCCTCATTGTAAATCTCAATTAACTCCCATTGACACCCATAAAACTTAGTATTTCAGGTAAAAGATATTAAAGCTCTTGGAATTCCCATCAGAATTAACCAATGAAAGTCCTCAAAAGGCCTAGGAAAGAGCTATTTAGTGATCTTTGCCTAGCTCACATGGGAGCAAAGTCCCAAGGTGTGTGTAGAGCCGCTTCTAGAAGGTAGGCCGTCTAAGCAGCTGTCAGTGAGTGAGGTTTCACAGAACCTCTGGAGTCTCTGCTTTTCACAGGCAAGCCCAGTGTGCTCCAGGCAATACAATAAAGCATGGAGCTGGTTACTAAGTGTACGAAAAATGACATTCTAATCACTCCTGATGGGTGGGTTGGTGGGGGGCCTCCTTGTGGTAAGTGTGTGGGGGGGGGTCCCCAGCTGAGAATGTTACATAATTTCTGTTTGTCCCTCAGCCCTGCGAAGCTGAAGGCTGCTAAAGCAGCTGCCACAGTGCTCTGTAATATGTTCCAGTACAAGAAGCTTCATCGGGATTACAAACAGGTGAGGGACCTGGGCTTCGGGGCGGTGCAGACCACCGTCAGAGCTGGTCGTTACCTTCAGAATGTGCTCCACAGTGAAGCAGTTTGCACAAGATGGTACACTAACTGAATCAGTGGGTAAAGATGTGTACTTTTTTAAAAGTAAATCGCAGGTAATTGATTGGTTGCCTGGTTTTGAATTTGGTTATGCCTGAATAGATTTGAACTCATGCTTTGGGAGTAAATGCTTGTCTTAGTTTACTCCAGTGTATCTCAAACCGGTCATCAGACAGTCCATGTTTCTGCTTCCTTCCAACTGTCTAGTAGAAACGTGTATTGTCTGGCAGGAAGTTAGGAGGAAGCCAAAACGCAGACCTTTTGGGGGTCCCTGATGACCAGATTGAGAGACACTGGTTTATTCCCAGTGGGAAGGGAGAATCATAATTACCAATCCTCTCCTCTTTCATCTGCTCATCTGATCATTCCCAGGTGTCCCTTCCAGCATCTCTCTCTCTCTCTCTCTCTCTCTTAACCTCATGAAGAATCTGTCCACCACCAATCGGTGACCTGCTTTAGGGAAGTCGTGCTAACAGCATAAACACTGAATGCCTCCTCATGTTTTGAATACTATTTCTAGAATCTGTTTTCCTGCATTCTTTTTTTTTTTTTACCTCTTAAAGCATTTCACTGCATGATGTTTCAGGCCCGATGAACACGGTTGGTCAAATCGTTGCATGGGTGTTTCCTAGCCTTATGGGGGTTTCCTTTCTTCAGTCCCCCCTCCCCCAGTTGAAAGACGTGCAGCCGGTAGCTGCATTGCTGTGTGCAGGCAGGCATGTGTGTAGTAATGTAGTCCTGTGCGACGATCTTGGGCAGTCAAAGAAAATGATGTTTAAAAGGTCTTCATGTTAGTGTAAAACTATGATGATGTGACTGTTAAAGTGGCCGTTTAGTTTTTGTTTTTTACTTGACCACTACCATACCATGTTTGGCCAATTAGTACCTCATTGATTATATAACTAAGTGAATTTATGATTTAATTGAACTAGTGGTGAAATGTATCGAATGCATGGAATGGGTGGGGTGCCCTTGAGGAGAGGTTGGGAACCAAAGTGGGGGTCATCAACCCATCCAACAGGACATCAGTAACTTTTTTGGAAAAGAGAAGGATTTTTTGTTTTATTGTGTAACTTATTTAACTGTTACATTTCCTTTGACTGCCTAAGACGTGTACACAGTACTGTACATCAGCATCACATCCAGGTTGCCCTTTAATCGTTCTGGTTAACCTGACTAATGAAAACAGTCACAGAGGACATGGTAATTACAATTCAGTGAAGTTAGTTTGGTTTCTAAACTATAAAGCACATTTTGTGTCAACCAGCACAATTCTGTCTTGCAGCATTGTGAATCCTACCATTGCCTTTCCTACTTCTTCATTAGATCCCTAAGTCAGCTGTTGTCTTGGAGATCCCTTTGTAGTCATTATGAGTGTGCTCATTGTGTAATATGATGCTAGAACATCCATAAATTATTAATCCATGGGAAGGTGTATATATACACTCAGTACATTCAATCCCATTACTATTGTTAAATATTAGGGTTAGACAGGGCATTTCAAATTTCATAGCAGTTAGTATCTAATTAAATTTAATTCTAATCCCAATCACTTGTATCTACCATTTAGATATCTAAACTCATGGATTTTGAATGTGATCAAGTCAGAGATTTCATTATGAAGAGAGAGCTTTAAACCTGTCAGCAACTTATTTCTAATGATAGTTTCCCCAACGTTACTTGCAAAGTTTGCTGTCCTGTTAATTTTGATAGACCATTCATTGAACCTTTTCATGATTTTGGAACTTAATAACATAACTGGCCAGCAATTTTCAGCATTGCTGAAAAAAACCTTCATTTGCACATTATACTAAACCACAAATTTTTTTTCGTTTATTTTTTTTATGTCTTCTTAAATCATGGAGAAACAGCGCTCTTGTCATTCAGCATTTTAGCCATTGCTGTTGACATTTAAAGGCGTGTGGCTGCGTATCATATTTGCGTGTGTGAATTTATGCCTTCTGTCCCTGCCTTAGCCGCAGGCTGTTTTCCCTTTTTTGAAATGCTAACAATGTGAATGCGCAGATGCGTGCTTTCGCACAAACGCAGCCTGTTGCACACGTGCACATACAACACGAAGTGTTCAGGAGGCGGGAACATGCCTCGCACGCCTCGCCTTCCTTTCCATGGTCCTCTAAATCAGTCTGCCCTGAGAGTGTCCCTGTTCTTTTTTAAAAAAATGACCATCTGACTTTTTTTTACCTAATGCTTCTTCTTTTCTGTTGGTGTCCCATTTACATGCTCTATTTATGGAAGCAGCTGGAGGCCTCCTCTGCTTTGTCGTTATGGTCAGAACTGCAGACGGGCCATATCATACATGTTTATCCCACACATTCAGGCCTAAGTGTATTATTGATAAAGGGGAGTGAAACCACATTGTGTTAGTAACCTTTGGTCTCCCTGAAATGTGTCCACTGACATGCCGCTTTCTTTCTCTTTACAGAAAGGGTTCGGGAGACAAGACTTTGCGGACATTATTATATAAACCTTTATTCTTTATTTTCCACCTGCAAGATGAGTTTGCATCTACTCCGCCTCAGGCAGGAATATTCAGCAAACGAACGCTAGCTGTAGACAGTCCGCTAGGTGTTGTCCGTTTTGTCGAAGCGGCGGCCCTAACTGTAGGGGCTGATACAGGACTAGCTACCACAAAGGATCATTTGCGCTCATTATCTGGATATGTTTAAATATTCTTCATGACTTTTCCCCTGGCAACTCAAAAGCAGCATCCAAGCAGATTTCTGCAGATTTGCAGATTTTTCTATTCCCTGTGTTTCATACCTAGTCGCTGGTCTCCTTTCGCTGGTTCCGGACTGAGCACTGCCATGTTTGTGTGTTGCTGAGGGTACTAGAATTCTAGACCGGGGCTGTTCAAATCACGGTTCCTCAAGGTCCGAGTACTGCTGATTTTCCAGCCTTCCTTTACTCGTGAGGTGGGTGTGAAGCCTCAGTGGCCAATCAGAATCAGTAATTATTAAACTAACTTCCTGGGAGAACTGAAAACAAGGCCTGGATTTGGAATTGAGGGCTAGATTTGAAGAGCCCTGTACTTATACCCCTCCTAGCATGTCTGCTGTAAAATCCCCTTTTTCTGCAGATCACCCCCACATGCCACTCATATTCTGGCAGCAGTTACTATGGAGATAAGGGTCACATTTTTACCCTGACTCTTTGTAGCTGACTGTCTGCCTTGCCTTCATACACAGGGGAGTCAAAAAGTTGTCTTTTTCCAGCAATCTGTATATTATGGATTTCCTCACAGTCCTGTTGAATCATGAATCTTTGAAACTTAGTATTGTTCTTGTGTATGTTAAGAGTTCACTATTTGTTTAATACAAATGCTGAGCGGGTTGAGTGATCTTGTAGTACACACTGGGTCAGGGATTTTGTATTTGTCTTTTTCTGCTTTTTAACTTGCCTGTTTTATTAAATGCTGTAAAATGGTGGTAAATACTGTAAGATGGACGGTCAGTTTGGTGCCTATGTAAGCGTGTGTTACCATTTTCAGGTGCTCAACATTATGCTTGCCTAAGATTTATCCTAAGGAAAATGCATAATATGATCGGTCTCCACTAAATAAGTGCCTAGTTAATGAAGTAACTGGTTAATGATCACAGTGGGCCTCTGTGAAGACTTTTTTTTTTTTTTTAAATAAAAAAATAAAAAACATCCTGAAAACAGGTTTACTGATCCCACAAACGACCAAGACGAAAAAATTTGCCGAAGGCAGCTGAACTGTTCCTTCTGAAACAGCTCTTTTAGTATAACATCAGAAAGGTTCTGGGCACTGCTCGTCTTCATTGTCTTGCCAGGTTCTGGGTAAACCAAACTTGTTCTATTTTTAATTACTTAAATTAAGCACCACCATAAAGGTAAACGTTTTGCAAATTACATCCAATAGGTACCAAACCCCTTTAATCATTTTATAGTATTTAGTTACCTTAAGTGCCTATAAAGGGAGTGTTTTGAAAGTGGAAATTTTGTGTAAAATGTATTTATTTAATTGCTCTTATGAATAGATTTGTGATTCTTTAATAGGTACCGTTCTTTTAGTTTTTCTTTGGCAAACTGACTAAATCTACTCAAAATATTCTGGATTAAACCCATTAAAGACTGCGGCTTCAGTAAAAATTAACTTTCACTCTAATATTTTTGCACCTAAAGGGGAGTTTGCTTGGCTTTGTACTATAATTTCTGGTCTTGAGTAGGCCTGCATTTCCACCTCTGTCCACCGCTAGGCAGCACTGAGACATACAGTAATTTTACTGTATTCTGGTTCCTTGTTTGGTACTGTCCATTAGTCCTCCTTGAAATACTTAGAGCTGTAGTCCCATTGTTGAGTTACAGCCAAAATTACTTCTGTAGCTTACAGTCTCTGGTAGGCTCTCATGTTCTCATTTTGTATGTAATATTCATTTGGAATAAAAATAAAGATCTTAGACATGCATTTGATTGAATTTCTAAAAGTAACACATTTATGCTTTTGGCTAATTGCATGTTTGATGGGTTACAGGTTTGGATTTTTCTTTATTCTTTACCGATGCTGTTTTTTTCCGTTTTGAGTGAGTAAAATGAAACACCAGTAATCCTAATACTAATTTCTCTTGTAGAGGGGCAGTACCTCATGATAACATTTAAACCATATAGATAAGATAACTGTATATGGCCATTGTTCTTCAAACTATATTTGACCTCATTTAATGAAACTCCTGTTGACAGATGTTGGGAACATGCCAGTGGCCTGTACTACGAAATGGGATTACTGGCTTATCGGGGTAACTAGTCGGATGTAAGGTAGTCCGGGCAAAATGTAAGTGAACGAATATGAAGTCCATTTAAACTGTGGTACCTTTTAATCCGACAAGTTTCCCCGATAAGCCATTAACCCCGCTTCATAGTACAGGCCACAAGTCAAATAAAAAATAAACGAATGAATGTCCCTGCAGCTCAGCTAAACTGAAAAATACGCCATTGCTTTTAAGGTGTGGTGCAGTCACATGCCTTGTTTTCTATACAATGTCAAGCGGTTCAGGGAGTTTTCAAGCCACACGTTTGTTTGTTTGTATGTTTCTTTTTGGGTGCTCACTATCTGTTGTCCCCCTAATCTGAATCTATATGTATGTCCACTTTGAACAAGAGGGCCACTCTTTTGGGTTAGTTTCACAGGAAGGGCCGGTTCTACCAGTTCAGGGGTCCTAGGCAATGCTTGACTTGATCGAGAAAAATGATGATCCTTTCACTTTCTCCACAGCGCACACAATAAAGGGGCTCTGGGCTACTGCCTACAGCTAGGGCTGGCCTGGGAGACAAGGATGTTCTGGGTTGGTTAGAGAAAGACTACATGCAAATAATGTTGAATACTTAGCGCCTGTATGATTACCTTCCTATTTACAGAAGGTAGTCAAAGGGTATTTGCTTTGCTCAAGTTGTTAAACCTACATTACTGCATATTTACCTCATTTCCAAGTCACACCTCGCCCTTGATTTGGTAGCACAATTAATGTAGATACGTATGTGTATTTTTCCTTAACTGAGTGAAAACTTTGTTTTGTGCGGCTAGTCTAAAATTTCAGGACCTCATGATAATGGTAACTTACTAATAAGTTCAGTTGTATTTCTGAATTAGTTTCCAGGTCATGCATTTCGTTCCAGCAGTCTGCCCTCTGCATAGTTTAAGAAGAGTGAGCTCTCTTTCTAAAACCTGTAGAGCATAAGACAATGGGATACAAGACATTTCTCAATGTTCTCTTCTACTTTGTTATACACTGGACATATGACTATGACAGTTAAAACTACCTCATGCGATTTTAAAAATAGCTTTATGAAAAGAGCACTGCAACAGTACCGCTGAAGAAGAAAAGGAAGGTTGGAGTGATCGTAACTTGATAGTAAGAGCTTTCTTTATATCGTATATCACTGAGAATAAGCTGAAAATCAGCATGCAAGCCACTGTCATGTAATCGATACCTATGTTCGTCATCCACATGGGCAGGAAACCAAACAGGATATGGCTACAACTGCAAAAGAGAGATGATTTCTGGATGCAGGCCAGGTTAAGGCTGATGTCCTAGTAGGTCCAGTGTACATAGACTGGCATAGAGACATTGAGATCAGCATAGCAGTCAGTTTACTTCAGATGAGTAGTGGATTTGACACCACCTGCAATATCTTGTTATATCATTGTTGTGTGAAATTTAGTGTAATTTAATGTCTCTGGTGCCCCCCTTGTTCACCTTTATTGCTTACCTTGAGGTGGGAGTGTCAGAGATACGAGTTCTTTACTGCTGCTTCATACACTATTAATGATTATTGAACTTTGGACTGTCAGGTATCAGTCAGAGAAAACCAGTCCAGGATTTCTGGTGCTAATAATTGTTTTTCTTGGCTTCCATTTAATAGCCATTAGCAAGTAGGCACTCGCATACTATTCTCCATAACCAAAACACGAGAGCATTTCAGCATTGTCTTAAGTGTGAATGGTTACTCCGGAGAGCACATGTGCTCCTCGTTTGTATTCCCGTCATTATAAGTCTCTGCAACAATCTACTTATTGGTCATCAAAAGGTCCCATTTGCTCTGTTCCACAAAATGAGCAAAGAAAGGGAACTGAAATCATTGGGGGAAAAAATCACCACAAATAAGCATTTAGTTAGTTGTTACAAAGAAGTTACTAGGGAAACATGACCGAGGAGCTCTGGGAAACTCACTCTGTGTGAATGAAGCACACTGGCTGTGGCTTTTGTCTAAATCACGGTAAATGCTTCTCCTCCAGCTACGGAGATACGTTTTAACACATTATACCAGTACACCCCTTGGGTGGGACTCTCCGTGTTTAAACAAGCAAAGCCCCACCCTTTACTCCCGGGTGAGCATAACAGCTGTAGCATGCAGGAGCTTGTTTTTGCATAGTTTGTCTGGTTTTGAAAGTGACACATTCTTAAACGTGTAATGACTGGTTGTTGTCCTACCTTGAATAAACCCTCTTCACCACATTTAAATTTTCTACTATGTCCTGAGCCAGCAGTCGATTTGTGTAATTTGTGAATTTATTTCAGTAATATTCATTTGAGGTTCTTTTGGCTAAAATGTTTAAGCTCTAGGTTCTTACAGTATGAGATGAATTTTCTTGGCCCTGCTCTTGTGTTTTGTACTGTTCTGACTAGATTCCCCTGGTGATTATTTGAATAGCTGTTCTGCTCTGGTTTCATGGGTCTTTGGGTACCTCTTCTTCCCCTAATTATCTAGAACCGGCTAGTGGTCCCTCATCGGAAGCTTAGCCACCTGCACGTGTACCTAAGTTGACAGACTTATGCTAGATGTGCATTAACGGCCTCACTTGTACATCACCTGAAATAAAAGTGTATGTTAAATAAATAAATGTATATTTAAAGAAAGCAAGGTCAGGTGACTGCAATTCAGTCTAACTTTGTAATTTTGAATGTAGAGGAGGCTTCAGATAATTTTTTTTTTGGGGGGGGGAGGGCACGGTAGGACATGGGGAGGGGGGTAATCTGAAATGAAAAAAATAAAGACCATCTGAAACTTCTTTCTACTAACTGCACAAAAGAATAATGGCTGATTCTTGCACATTCATGCTTGTACTACTAAAATGTTAATTAAAATCAAATTTGTGTTCCGTTATTAAGATCATATCAAGAGCCAATGAAAATGGGGATGGTTCTTTTCAGAGGGGGGGCAGTGATTCGGTTTCAAGGGGGGCAGCCACAATGTTATTGTCATTTCATGAGAAATTGTTACTTTTGTACATTTTTTTTTTAAATTTTATTCACCTTCTTTGGGCCCTTGTACATCTCCTGTTATTGACGGAGGATTTTTAAATTTGCAAACCGGGTGGGGCAGGGTTGTGGCGATAAAAATTCCTGCTGGCTAATTTTACTGCTGCTGAATGACAGGGTGACAGATTTCCGGTACATTGCGCAGCATTCGTGAGTGTCAGCGAGCTGCTGTCGTGGTGCGCCGACTCCCGGAACTTACGGGAAAGGTGAGATGTCTGTATTACTATCAAAGAGGCCTCTTAGAAACCAGGGTGCATCTATCGTCCATTTGGCCATGATTCAAGCAGACAGCTACACACTGTCGTATTGGTGGTTAACTAAATTGTTATAATTTGTAAGGCAAAATCTGGAAACAGGACTCATAGCATACTGGATGGAGATATTACATTAGTGCACAGATTTTATTATGAGCACACTGATTTGATTTTTAATATAAAATACAGGAAACATACAGTAATATGAAAATAACCAGGATATAATTACAACTCTTACTTTACAAGAAGTCTCAAAATATAACATGTACTTAGAGGATTTTCACTTGTAATTCGGCAGTTTTGGCCACAGTACACCTAGGTGATGGCAGCAAAGCTATTTATAGAATATTTTTTTAATGATCTGTTAAAATTCTAGAATTAAATAATCATTCATCCTAGTGTTTTGTGCGCTGGGAGCATTGTAGTGTTTGAGTTCCCCCAAACATCAGAGTAAACAGACAAGTGCAGTCATATGATGGCAACAGGGAAGTTCTTGTCTCCATCTTCTCCGTACAGTTGCCTTGCAACCTGGGGAAAGGGCACACTGCACTGCAGGACAGTGCAGTGCAGTGCAGGACAGTAAACTAAAGAGAAGGGACATATGAACCTGACTGAACACCAGTGACCAGGAGACAACCTGGCCAGTCAACGGAATCATCAGGGCCAGGGGGCTGACTTTCAAAAGCCCCTGTTTCATGAGTCATATGAAGAAAATATAAACTTTCATTATTCATAAATGTCTTCCTCGCACAAGCCGCTGCTTCTCCCAGTCTTGTTCATCAGACATTAGTTGACCTGAAGCATCTCTCATTCTCCGCCCTGAAAGAGCAACACATGAACTGTGTTATAAGCACATGGGTGCTTGTTTAACTTGATGCAGGTTTCAACTGTAGCTCCAACAAACTAGGTCTTGTGTCTTTAGAAGTATTCATGACAGCTTTCCGTTTGAAATGACCCCTGACCTTGTGTAACTGTCTGCGTCTTCAGAATGACTGGTGTTTCCAAACTGGTTTGGTCTTCACACACTATGCAATGTTTGGTGTAAATTCGGTGCATGCACACACCCACCTAAACTCTGCTTTGAGCCTCTCCAGTTTGTCCTCAAGTCTGTTGTTCTTCACAGGTAAGGGGCAGTCTGGGAAAAACCAACCGGTGACACCCTTGCAGATAAGTACGATGTGCTGTGGAAAGACGAAAGAGGGTGGCGGAATAAGCCAATTAAGGGCACTTCTTACAACTTCCTATGAATTACCTGTGGAAAAAAATGTCACGATGGCTGATTGCATGATGCGGATTTTAGTTGTTCTCATAAAAAGGAAGCTTCTTTAGCAAGATTTCTATTATATAAATGATTTAGATTTTTTGGAAGCCATCTGCAATAACATGATTGGTTAATG